TTGGGTATCTCTGGTTTCATTAGTAGTGAAAGTGCATGTATATTTCTTCTTCAGATAATACTGCCATTCAACTCACTCAACTCCAGATACCCTTTGCAGTCATAATTCTTAAAAGTCACTAGTGGTGCTTACTGTATAGCAGTTACCCAGATTTTATTTTTCATAGAAACTTTCTTTCCCTCCTTTATTCTGAGCATTATAAATTAACGTAGGGGCACGTGGAAAAGACACTCCCATGAGAATAAACGGTTTTGGTTTTGTCAATAGGCAAACTTATCTCTGGAGTTCAAAGGCCAAGAGCAGATGTCAAGGAAGGGACTTCTTCAAAGACACTCAAACACTGCCAGTTTCCAAGATTAGCACTGCCACTACAAAAATTCTGCCACATTCAGAGTTGGGCTGAATCCAGTGGCTACTTCTCTAATTGAAGGGTCCTGGTGTGATTCCCTAAGTTCTTTAATTTAACTACCATCAGTTGTTCCCCAGCAGGCTTTTCCAGCCACTGCTGGATTGCTTTTGCTGCTACCTATATGCAAGAGTCGACAGTCTCAGTGAATAATTCAAAGGAATTAATGACAGTAAGGAGTTCAGTGAAATTAATTGCTAGTTCACGATGAGACTTCTTGTTTATTTTGTTCTCTGTGTTTGTTGTAGCCACTAAAATTAGTTGCCCCCTTCTGTACCTGGCTCTCTTACCTGTACTAACTGTCTTCTTCAGCAAATATCCTCTGTGCTGAACGGACCATCAAATAACTGATAGAAGACAAGACACTTAATTGTCTATTGATAAGCAAATTTAATGAATTAGAATTATGCTTCAGCCTCTTATTTTGGGGTCCGTAGTGAATTCTTTATTCTTTTTTTTAAATAAAAATTACTGGGTAAAAATTAAATGACATTTATCTTTCTTTTTTTCTAGTTTATGTTATTCTGCTGAGCATCATCTTCAGGCCATTCTTCAGCTCAGGTTTATTGGCTTCACAATTTTTTTTTTTTTGGCATTTCTTTCATCTCTTTGGAAATTTCTTTAGTAATATTCATTGTTCATATTTTAGATCTCTGATCAATGTTGACAATGTTTCTGATCATAATTTAATTAAATTTTGTCAGTTATTTTACTGTTTCTGTTGTAATAATTTTGAACAATGCATTATTAATTGCATTACATTTTCTGTCTTACACAATTGTCTATTGTATTTGTAGTGTTATCTATTCCTATGAATCTTATTTTGTAAAGTCAAACAAAGTAGATAGTCTATATACTTCACTTTTATTCCTTCGACCATATTTTTGTTTTAAGAAAGTACCACCAACTGCCGTGTTTGCTCACATCTGTAATCCCAGAACTTTGGGAGGCCGAGGTGGGTGGATCACGAGGTCAGGAGTTCAAGACCAGCCTGGCCAACATAGTGAAACCCTGACTTTACTAAACATGCAAAAAATTAGCCAGGTGTGGTTGCACGTGCCTGTAATCCCAGCTATCTGGGAGGCTGAGGTGGAGAATTTCTTAAATTTGGAAAGCAGAGGTTGCAGCAAGCCAAGATAGCACCACTGCACTCCAACTTGGGCAACATAAGTGAGACTCCATCTCAAGAAAAAGAAAAAAAAAATCCTTCTTCAGACTTTCATCCTATGTGATAATATCCCTATTTTTTTTTCAGAATGTTTTAGCAGATCTGTCATTGGTATCTTTTTTTTATTATGTCTTCTTTGAGTGAAAATCCTTTTCGTGACTGGCATGTTCTCAAATAGAGTGAACTGATTTTTATTTTGTCCCGTATCTTTCTTCCAAGATGCTCTTGAAATTCTCCTTCTGTGGTTAAACTGATGTGTAGGTAGACTTTTATATAACCGGTTTATTGATATGACCATCTATTTGGAATAAAATGAGATGGATTGCTGTAGGAAGAAAACCCGAGTCCTGAGCTGTATTCAAAAAAGAATTCATTCTTAATAAATTTTCTTCTCTTTCTTTCATGTTATTCTTTTATTGAATGCACATATTAAATTTTGGTTTATAGAGACTTCAGATTCCTAGTATTAGTAGTGACTATGAGCTGTTCCTTTTTATACCCCTGTACATTACATCTGAGAAGAACTCAGCTGTATTCAGAGGCACTTGTGCACCTGCTGCCCCACTGGCGTGACCTCACTTGCCATTGCCATTTTATAGCATCTGGATTCATGTTCTCTTCTTCTTGAGCAGACAAAGTGGCTTAACATTATGTGCTGTTCTTTTCTTTTGTGATCTTCTCATGTTTCTTACATACCTTGAGTCTCTAGATTTTTGTCTTTCTGGGCTACATTTTGGATCACTTCTTGCAATATTACAACATCATGCTGCTTTTTTTTCCTTCAGGAAAGCAAAATTTTCTTTTCTTTTGAGATCTATTATCAGGATTTTCTTCTAATATGTCTTTATATATACTATATCCAATAACAATTCTTCGACTGACATATTTGATGGCACTATTTCCTAGTTTCTATGTTTGTTATACATGTTCCCTCTCTGTTTATGTTTCTGTGTTGATTTCATTCAGCATCTACGATAGTGATAGGGATGGTAGGCTCAAGTTTTTGTCTTTTACAGAGCTTCCTTGTCTTTTTATTTTTATTATCTTCTTGAATAATAGCTACTTCTCACAGAAATATAAAAGAAAAAAGATACAAAGTTTGCAAGGTTTGCTTCATCACATTAAAGCAAGGATTCAGAGCTAATCTTTATCCCATGTAGCCAATGTTCTCCTTGAGCTTCAGTTACTCACTGAAAGCAGTCAATAATTCAAAGATTTATTCTAAAATTCCCAATCTTATGTCCCATTTCCCCTAGCCATGTCTTTTAGGAGCAATCAGCCACACCAAAGTGTTACTAGAAGCATTTAGTTTTATAGAAATCAGTTAAATTTTAAGTGACAAATGCAGTAGATCACAAACTATGTAAAAAGTGCTAACAAAATGTCAGTATGTTTAAATTGTGGGGAAAAAAATCAATATATTGTAACATGCACTTGGATTTTCAGCACAAATGGTTTAAATGCCAGAGAAAAAATGATGGCTCTGTCCCAAATTTAAATGTTGAGAATTTGTCTTTGCAGTTCCTTTATCTCTTTAGCTTGTGTCTCTTTTCTTATTCTGGTAGGATCTGTTCTCTTTAAATGTTTTCTTCTTATGTAGTTCTCTGTAAAAACGAGCTCTAAACTGAGATCTACATATCTTAGTTTCTACAAGCTAGAAAACTAGCTCAAACTAGAGATATAAAAATTACATTGGCAAATACTTTCTGGAGCTACAAATTGAATTAACTATTTGACAGTCTCAACTTTTTTAAATGAGTCAAGTCTTCATGGATAAACACATATTTATTCAGTACTTTTGACATTTAAGGTACAGTTAGGTGCTTTGAGAATGAAGTTTCTACCACTGTATTAGTTTGCTAGAGCTTTCACAGTAAAGTACTACAGAGTGGTTGACTCTAACAACAGAAATTCATTTTCTCACATTTCTGGAAGTTAGATATTAGAGGTTAAGATAACAACAGTGTTGGTTTCTTCCAAGGGCTGCGAGGAAAGAATATGTTCCAGGATTCTTTCTTTGCACATGGCCATTTCCCCCTGTGTCTTCACATTGTCTTCCAATTGTCCATATCTGTGTCCAAATTTCTTCTTTTTATGAGAACATCGTTCACATTGGATCAGGACTTACCCTAGTGACCCCATTGCAACTTTAACTCTCTAAAGACCCTATCTCCAAGTGCAGTTACATTCTGAAGTACTGGGGGATAAGACTTCAACATACAAATTTTAAGAAGACATAATTCAGCTCACACCACCTATTGCTTATTGTATATATGAAAGGTGGCATAGTTTATTGGTTGAGAAAAGGCTGTGAATCCACCTGCCAATATCTGAATCCTCGATCTGACTCTGCTTCCTAGCTGAGTTACTCTCAGCAAGTTTTCTTTCTTTTTTTTTTAATCTTTAACCATTCTACGCTTCAAAGCCCATATCTACAAATTTGGGGTGTTAAAGTAAATTAAAATGGTACCAGACCTGGAGAATTTCTGAGCAGACAAAGACAGGTAGGACTCATAACTGACCTTAAACTTTTTTGGTTTGCAAACATAAGCAAACTTAGCTTGAGCTATTTCTTATAAACACACACATTAAAGAAAATCAGACTTAAGGCTAATTTATCAGAAGCTACCAACCAATTTATGTAACTAAGCACTTTACAGCAGGATAGACAAATGAGGCAACTGCATAACTGTAACCAATCAAAGATTTTTTTTTTGCTATAATTCTGTGTTAATCCTATAAGAGCCTTGCCCTCCAGTTCCTCAGGCAGAGCCTCAAAACAACACCTGGTTTGGAAATGCCTGACTTGTGAATTGCTGTTTGCTCAAATAAGCTCTTTAGAATTTTGTTGTGCCTCTGTTAATTTTTACCAGGAGCAATAGTTATTTCAAAGGCTTATTCTGTAGACTAATAAGTTAATACATGTAAAGTGCTTTAAAAGTACCAATCTCAGTGTAGAGATTCACTATGCAATTCAATTTTAGATATTTTTATAATTAAATAAAGGGCAGGAGATATGGTATAAAACATATAAAGCCATCATGATGAGAAAATCAGACATACTACTGATAAAGTAGTAATATTAGATTTTAATAAAACTTATTTTGACCAAATAACCATTTGAAAAATATTTAAGCAGAACCATTTAAGCAATTGCTATTCAAAAGCATTTCAAGTTCCTGAACAGATACTGGTTTTTGGGTAAGGTAAAGTGTATGTTATCTTTCTTACTCAGTACAGTTATACAACCTGAATTGAATGCATGGCAAAGCTCTATGAGGACACAGAAAAGTAATTTGTGGTAGGCAGATTTGGAAAGGCCAGAAGTTAAAGTTCTACCACGCTGTGGTAATTATACATTTCCGCCCCCTTTTCACCTCCCTGACCTTGAGGTTGCCTAAAATCTGGATGTGCATATTTTTGTAGGCAGAAAACACTCCAGGAGAGGACCACCAGTTCTGACTTGAGGAATGGAAATGTGATTTCCTCACATTCTGAGATGGTAGGAAAACTCCTGTTTTAAATTTTTTTTTTCCTTCTTCTACTTCTTTTCTCCCTCCTACTTAAAGTTCTCTTTCATGCCATCCAGTTCCCAGGCAGATCCACTTGCAGAGATGGGAGAGAAGGAGCAGAGATCCACAGCAGAAGCAAGGCGGCCTGCAGGCACCTAAACCTCAGAGTGAGCCATGCTTTCTGTTCCGGTTGAGGCAGCTGGGGTCCTAAGAAAGTGGGATAAATGCCACTATTTCGGTCCCTGTTTATCATCATCCGGCTTAATCCCAGAGGTGGTCACACTCACAGGAAGTGTGTGGCACAGCAGGATAAATAAACCTTCAGCTTTCTTGTTAAAGGACCAAAAAGGAAAGCCCCAGAAAACTGAGAAGTATAGGGATAATTCCAGATAGGGAAGAACTCAGAACTGTGACTTTTTAAAACTGTGTATGAACTCATGGGCTCACCCTTGACCTCATCATACATGGATCCTAAACTAAACAACATACCATATTTTTGAAAACTAAACTAAGAGATAAGACTACTGCCTAGGTCCCAGACTGGCCACTGGCCCGTGTACACATGGGACAGATCTGAATGGTAAAGGCAGTGGCAATAGAACTGAATTAACACCACAATAAATGTAAAACCAATTGAAATTTGTTTTGTACACCCAACTATGCTGATAATCTGCTGAAACACAAATATCAACATTAAGTATCATTTAAACAAGGCATAGGGTTTCATAGCATAATATTCAAAATGTCTAGGGTACAAGCCCTAATTATTGAGGATATAAAGAATTAAGAAAATGTCTCTACATGCAGGATAAAAGGCATTGAACAGACAGCACAGCCAAGATGTTATAGATGTTGGAATTCTGTGATAAAGAATTTAAATCAGTGATTATAAGATGCTTCAGCAAGCAATCACAGACATAATTTAAATAAATAGAATTAGAGAAAATATTAGAAACAAAGTAGAATATGAGCCAAAGTGAAGAAGATCCAAATATAAATTTTAGGACTGAGAAATAAAGTAACAGCGAAAGCAAAACCTCATGGCATAGATCAGGTATTTTAAATTCAGGGTCAATATACGGCTTCTTGAGGATGTAGAAGGGGCTGTGGGTCCTTGAAATTGAATTGTATGGATATCACATGGGCAGTTTCCAAGGAGGTGGGTGCAGTGCTGACAATGCTGGTGTCTGGGCTGCAAGCTTGGAGGTTATAATGTAATGATCTGTGGGTAGGGCTACAGGAACAAGTGTTTTAAAAGAATCTACTCAGACCATTTGGGACAGGACAGAGATATTCCCTTAGGGACCAGTGCCCCCTGTCCCCTGCCAAGCCTGGAAATAAATGAAAATCTTGAGTTCCTTTAAGGATAATTTTAGGTACCTAACTATCTCTAATAAGTAAATAAGCAACTTATAAAGCCACAAGTAAAGAGTAGCCTAAAATAATAGCCACGGAAGCTACAATCACAGAATGTTTGGTTCTCCTATGGAAACTAAAGATAACATCTTAACATATGTTTCTGAGTTGTTTTTCAGAAACCTGGATTCCAACCAAGAGGATCTGCCAGCACAACAAGTAGGCCTCTGACAAGGAGGAATTGCAGACTGACCTCTGACCACCACTCCTTGTTATAAATTTCTTCCCACCAGGCCTGGAGAATCTCATCTCCACAAGCCAGAGCTAACATTCTTCTTTGCAGACCCCCAATTTTTTTTTTTCTTGGAGACAGAGTTTCACTCGTTACCCAGACTGGAGTGCAATGACACGATCCTGGCTCACCACAACCTCTACCTCCTGGGTTCAAGCAATTCTCCTGCCTCAGTCTCCCAAGTAGCTGGGACTATAAGTGCGTGCCACCATGCCCAGCTAATTTTTGTGTTTTTAGTAGAGACAGTGTTTCACCATGTTGACCAGGATGGTCTCGATCTCTTGACCTCGTGATCTACCCGCCTCGGCCTCCCAAAGTGCTAAGAATATAGGCATAAGCCACCATGCCCGGCCTGCAGACTCCAAATTTTTAAACAAAGTTTTCTTCCTTAACCTATTGCATATTAGAAAATCTCTTAATCTACCTATGACCTGTAAGTTCCCTCTTCAAGTCATCCCACATTTTTAGACCAACACCACTGTGTAACCTCCACGTACTGATTTTTAAATTTTTCCCTAACTTCCACTTTCCTGAAATTTACCCTGACTTTGATTTATCCCTTGTCTGCAAGCCATTGGGAAGGTTGGAACATAAGTTTAAATTACCTGATTCCATTTGCTTGGTACCCTGCAAATAAATACTTTCCTTTTTCCTGCTGCAAAGGTCAGCATGGATACAGATATCCATGCTGCTTACTGCTCCAAGTAAGTGGACCCCTGTTCACTTCCATAACACATTCTCATCACCAGCCAGGAACAAGAACAGCTGATCAAGTGTTGCCCACTTAGCTTTCAGAAAAGAAGACTGAAGCTCAACAGGTTTTACCCCATCAGCTTTCTCTGCCACCTAGATTGTGAGTAGTATTTCCTATCAGTTGTTTTCTGGGCTTACCCAATTTTAATTCCTGTGTTCCACTCCAACTTTCTATCTTCTTCTGTTTCTTAGAAACTTCTCTTATATTTGTGCATAAACCAAAAATAAAAGTCTAAGATCCCCAGATGACTGAATGGATTCCCCTTTTGGCCAAGAGCATTCCAAAGTAAACCTGGAAAACAAGTGCAGTCTGTGATGGGAAAGGGGAACCAGACACGTTTCATTATACCTTCTTCCCTTTGGAATTCAGGCACAAGTGACCAGCATTAAGATTAAAACAGATATCTTAAGACTCTTTGTAACAATAAGATATCAAGTTTCAACCTGACTATAGTATAGCATCACATGACAGATTGCAGGCCTCGAAAGAAATATTTTACTCCAAGATATATTTCTTTTACATATTTTGAAATACTCTGCGAAGCTATCTCTTGTGGGGAAAATTTACGTTTTATAGAGAATCCTTTTCCCTTTACAAGTGTTTCCTTGATCCAGGAGAGATTACTTAAGAGTCTGGCACCTTTTTGGATCTGATTAGAGACATTTACCATCCGTTCTTTCTGAGGCTACTACCTGGAGGTTTCATCTGCAAACCATTGGGGATGCATAATAAGAACTTTGATCTCCACAGCTCCTTTTCTCAACCCAGACACTCCTTTCTATTGAGTTCAGGTTCTTCCATAATCCTTTAACTCTTTCAACCAATTGCCAATCAGAAAATCTTTGAATCAACTTGTGATCTGAAAAAACCCCATTTTGAGTTGTCCTGCTTTTTCAGACTGAATGAATGTATACCTTATATGTATTGATTGATGGCTGCTTATAACTTCTGTCTTCTTAAAATGTATAAAATCAAGCTGTAACCCAACCATCTTGGGCACATGTTCTTAGGACCTTCTGGGGCTGTGTCACAAGCATTAGTCACTCATATTTGGCTTCTGAAAATATTTAAACCTCTTTAAATATTTTGCAGAGTTTGCTCTTTTTATGACATGTGTATTTATTTCTCACAAAGAACCCAACCTTATTTTTCACCTTGATTAGAGGCCTGAGGTAGAAAGGGGGGAGAGCTTGCCCAGGTTATGGAATTTAGGAGTATATTGTAATGTTCAGTAATTAATACTATTTAGAAGAACAAGTTTTGAAATAAAAGTTAATTGCAAAAGGTAATGATAAATAAAATAGAAAACAATTAAACAAAACTAAAAATAAATAACAGTGCTTTGTGAAGTAATAATAAAAACGGAGGCAAAACAATAATCAATAATATGTGTCCTATCTTTATTTGAAATTTTGATGCTTTATTCCTCATAAAATTTTCTTTTTTGGCCTCAATTTAGTGTATTAAATATTGCAAATAAATGATGCATTTAAATGTTGTTTATTTTGATCGGTGAATTTCTTGGCGATCTCTTTGGTTTTAGAGCCTAGAAAAAGTGCATCTCTTGTCTTATCCTGTTGCTGACCCTGACTGCGGCATCTCCTAAGTGAGGACATGTGGAAACAGCAGGAGGCTCCTGTCATGATGAGAAACAGGTTAAGTCATTGGAAAATGACAGCATGGGCAGAATGAAAAATGTTTTGAGCGACAGAAGGGAAACAATTTATTTCTTTCTTATAAAAATCTATGAAATTTTCCTTTATTGGCTAGCACTAGACATTTTCTGAGAGGGAGGATCAAATTTTATTGATGACCACTTTTTAATAAACCACTTAATGTGAAGATAAAACTCTGAATATCTACATTATCAGTAACCCTGATGATTTTTCTAAAAAAGGTAATTAAACAGGTTGTTCAATCAGAGATAAAAAAAAATAATAGAGGAGAAAAATCTGATAAGAGAACAAAAGGAGAAGCACCATTTTGGGAACAGGAATTGCCAATGCCTAAGTTGTTTTCATTTGAAATGTAAATTTTTTCATCTTCCCAAACTTTCCAGTGAAGTCCACATAAATGCCTATGTGAGTAGGTTTTATCTTATTTTTGTGTTGTGCAAATTAAAAAAAAGGGACACATTTTCTGCTGGTGACAATAATAGCAAGAAAATGAGAGAACTCCTATATTGAACAAATACGGCAAAAGGAAGAGCTCAGAGTCAGAGAAGGATATGATAATACAAGTTCTTTCAGAGTTCTCAGAAATCTCATAAAAGGCCTTGGAATTTCCAGTAGTTGTAAAAAGTGGAATCCAATCTTCCCTGACTCTTAAGGTGTCTGTGGGTACAGCTGATGTGTAGTCAAACCCTTACCATGGCTACTCAGCATAACTAGAAAATACTCACACTTTATGTGCTCAAAATTTTGTAGACTCTGGACTTTCTTGTATGTGATTATGCAGAATTTCTTATGTTTCTTAACCAGCCAGTAACATAGACACCTTTCTTCCATAGTTAAGAAAAGTTACCAAAACTTGGTATTAGAAATAAAGCAAATAGGTAGGTAGTGTTGGGGTTCAGGGGAGCCCTCAGTTCCTCTGAGAGGATGTTTCTCCAAGGTTATTGGTCTCCTGTTCTCTCAAGAATGAGAGAGGTTACCATAGCAGGTGCACTCATAAAGTAAAATACCAGACCCCAAACAGAGTTTACAGAGAGTGATTTTATTAGGTAGAGAAAGAGAAAAAGGAGAAGAGAGAAAAATTCCATGAAGAGTGTGGAAGGGGACTCCAGAGGGGAAATCCAGCTGGGTGTGGGGACAAGGACTTTTAACCTGGGAGAAATTCCCTTCTTCTCCAAGCCCCGCAGGCCAATGAAAAGAGTTCCTTAGAAATTCTGCTGGAGTGATTGACTTTTGATTCATCCCACACCTGTGAAATTTAAACATAAACTGTTAAATCTCCCGGATGGAGAGAGATGAGAGTGGGGCATGGTGCCTTGAAGTTCTTGCCCTTAAAACTAGACCTCCGTGTGGACCCGGAAAGAGCACACATTTCCTCATTCCCCACTCTGAATAGGAAAGCCCAACTTCTGTTGGAACACAGGCATTGATCGCTCTTTAGATACTTCCTGCTGAAATGGGGTATAGAAGGGGCCCTGCAGTTGATGTTTCCTCCAGAGGGAAGTCTTTCAGGCATGCAGGTTGATCTAGAGGTCTGTGATAGAGCTCATGAGCCAAGGACATCCAGGGTTCTGGTGGCTGGATTATTTGTGACCTTATGGTTCTATAAGAAATGATGTGACGATGTGGTTAAAGATGACAGGCCCAGAGGCCAACAAATATACAATGGTTATAAACAAGCCTAGGAGAACAGAGCCAGGACAGCCAGTTGTTAAACAAGCCTTACAATACTGTTTCTGAAAGATTTTTAGCCCTGTGTTTGATTGATTCTTCAGTTTTATGTTCAAAACAATACTTAACTGGTTTACAAAGTAGCAGCATTTTTCCTAGAAAGAGATAGGTTTCCCTTCCACTATGAAAAGGATACTTGGAGTTCGAGAGATATCAAAGTTGAGGGTTATAACCCTGTTAAGGCAGGATATAAATTACACTTATGAGTGGTTACTTCCCTGAGGATTTTGTTGGAAAAGCAGATGTAGTTCTTCTAATGGCTCACAGGGCTATGGAGGGTTGTCTCCTGGAACTTCAGGCTGTGGAGTGGAGGTCCTATGACTTTCTTCAGGAGGTGTCCAAGACTTCGGGATTTGGGATTTTTTAATAATGGAGATAAACATTAGTGGTTTTGTTTTGTTTTGGTTTGGTAAGTTTGGCATAGGACCTATCACGGTTTTTGTGCTTTTGGTCACAATTTTGTCCCTAGAATGCCTGTAATTAGGCATATGTAATGAGTTACCTAACTACTTTAATACAGTGGTTTGAAGTGCTTCAGTAAGTAACTCCTAAACACCAAATCACAGTGTTTTAATTTGTGATATGTTGGAGAGAATGGTAGAACTTTCTGTAGTATAAGTATTTCATTAACTCATCCTTGTGCTGTTAAGTTACAGTGCTTTGACTCCTGGTTCTGTGGAAGGCACGAAGTCCTGCTTAATCTTGAGCATTGATACCAGTCAAAGCCTTGTCTTCAGATGAGTTTTGGTGATAATCAAAAACTGTTTTGTGAGACACAGGGCCAGAAATTAAAACTATAGAATTTCTCTAGGACCAGGTGATAGTTGCAGGAAGTAGACAAATTCCTAGGCAGCTAGGGGCAGGTCCCTGATGAAACCCGACCTTCAAGCTAGTGACAGCTTGAAGCCTGAAAACCAAGCTGCCACTCCAGGTAGAATCCACTACCTGGAGTGTAAAGTTCCTTGATCTCTTTCAGTTCATCAAATGGTACTTTTCCCAGGTCTACCCATGAACCAATTAGCATTCACTTTCTCTGTTCTGAGTCCATAAAAACCTCAGACTCAGCCACATGTCAGGACTACCTGTCCACAGGTAGGAACTACCCATTTCAGGTCTCCTCTCCACTGAGAGCTGATTAAAACTCAGTGAAACTATTTTCCACCTTGCTCAACCTCCAGTTGTCCATGTACCTTCATTCTTCCTGGACACTGGACAAGAACTCAGGACCTGCAAAATGGCAGGCATAAAAAGGGCTATAATATGTTCCCAGCCAGCTTGCTGAGTGCTGAGCTATGAGAGGGAGGAAAAGGATCTGTAATATATTTCCAACTAGCTCACCAAGCTGTGACATGCTCCTGTTCACCAGATTGCAGGAGTGAAGAGTAGTAACGTTCTGAGAACCCAGACCTTGAGATTCTCCTGACCACAACTGTGACATTATAGCCATCCAACCCTCTTCCAGCATTGGGCAACTGCCCCATATGATGGGAAGCAGCTTCAGAGCTAGGCTAGCCTGGGAACTATGGGAGAAAGGGAAGTGGTTGGACTAAAAGAGATGAAACAAACCCTCCTCATTCACCTTGCTGCAGTGATAGGAATAAGAGATCTGTAGCATGCCCCCTGCACTGGGACTCTATGGTTACTAGTGTCTCCAAGTTTTTAGGCACCATCGTGTGTCTCTCTTCAAGACATCAGCACCCTCAGTGGAAGCTATTTGGAGTATGCCTGGTCCAGCTGCAGCCTTGTATGGAGCCATACAGGCACCTCGAGTTGCTTTCCCCACCATAGCCAGCATGTCTGTCTGTGCACAGTGGCCGAATGCCACACTTGCTTGCCTATACACCTCTCACCACTCCACACCTGGCCTATCCTTGGCAGTTGTAGGACCTGGACCAGGAGCACAAGCCAAGCACAGCCTACCAGGCTGAGTGAGCAGAATGAGCCCAGCGGGCATGAGAAAAACTCAAGCAGAGGTGCTGCTGGCCACAGAAGTTTCCAGCTAATGAAGCAACACTGGAAGGATCTTGTCACACAGGTACTATTGAAGAAGAGGTGAGTGCATGAGATTGTAAGAGCCAATTTTGAGGGTTAAGATTAGTTCAGAGTTTTTCTATAAACATTAATATCAAAAGCACACCAATGCAAGGCTAGCATCTGAACCCATGTGTCAGACTTCTCTCTTCTTTAATAGAAAATTATAAAAGCTTATAAAATGTTTATGAAAATTTTATGGTCAAATTGATTACAACTAGATAAATTATAAAATTTTGTAAAAAATATCTTTAACATTAATACTATACCTTATAAAGGTAGTATTGGTTTTCTGTTTTGAAGTCGTTTTTTATGGAAGAGTTAAGAGTTTTTTTTTGTTCGTTTAAAAGTACAGATGAAAAAATTTGTGGGCTGGGGGGAGTTGGAGAGACAGATTTAGTTGGCCTCATACTATTTTTATAAGGACTTACTGTTTGAGAAACTGCTTCTCCTCACTATCAAAGGTAAACATGTTTGTATTTTTATCTTGGCTAAATGAATGACTATAGTAACTTGTAATCCTATTTTATGATACCAAGTGTCTTAAATCTTTGATATTTGACAGACTTCCTGAAAGCAAAATTTCAAGTTGTACTTTCTGTCTTTTTGACCTCAAACTAACTTTTATGAATGTTAGGGTCTCTGAAGTCTGAGAGAGACATATTAGGCTTATTAGGCTTGTTTGTTATGTTATGATTATGCAGAAAGTATTGTTAAATCTGAGGTGGTGTTTAGCTTCTGATATGGTTTGGCTGTGTCCCCATCCAAATCTCATCTTCAATCATAAATCCTACAATTCCCACGTGTTGTGAGAGGAACTCAGAGTGAGGTAATTGAATTATGGGGGTGGGTCCTTCCTGTGCTGTTCTTATGATAGTGAATGAGTCTCACAAGGTCTGATGGTTTTAATAAGGGGAGATTCCCTGCATAAGCTCTCTTCTCTTAATCTGCTGCCATGTCAGACATGCCTTTCACCTTCCACCATCACTGTGAGGCCTCCCCAGGCACATTGAAGTATAAGTTCCATAAACCTTTTTCTTTTGTAAATTGCCCAGTCTCAGGTGTGCCTTTATTAGCAGCATAAAAACAGACTAAAACAGTAAATTGGTACCAGTACGGTGAGGTGTGGCAGAAAATATGGAAGCAACTTTGGAAGTAGGTGACAGGCAGAAGTTGGAACAGTTTGGAGGGCTCACAGGAAGATAGGAAAATGTGGAAAAGTTCAGAACTCCCTAGAGACTTGTTGACTGGCTTTCAGAAAAATGCCAATAGCAATATGAGCAATAAGGTCCAGGCTGAGGTAATTTCAGATACAGATGAAGAACTTACTGGGAACTGGAGCAAAGATGACTTCTGTTATGTTTTAGCAAGGAGACTGGCAGCATTTTACCCCTGCCCTAGAAATTTGTGGAACTTTGAATTTGAGAAAGATAAGTTAGGGTATCTGGCAGAAGAAATTTCTTAAGTAGCAAAGCATTCAAGAAGTGATTTGATTGCTGTTATAGACATTCAGTTTTAAAAAGGAAACAAAATAAAAGTTCGGAAAATTTGCATCCTGATGATGTAGTGGAAAAGAAAATCCCATTTTCTGAGGTGAAATTCAAGCCAGCTGCAGAAATTTGCATAAATAATGAGGAGCCAAATGTTAATCCCCAAGACAATGGGGAAAATGTCTCCAGGGCATGCCAGAGGTCTTCATGGCAGCCCCTCCCATCACAGGCCTGAAGATCTAGGAGGAAAAAGTGGTTTTGTGGGCCAGGCCCAGTGTCCCTGTGCTGTGTGCAGCCTAGGGACTTGGTGCTCTGTGTCTTAGCCTCTCCAGCCATGGCTGAAAGGGGCCAACACAGAGCTTGGGCCATGGCTTCTGAGAGTATGAGCCCCAAAGTCGGCGGCTTCCACATGGTATTGAGCCTGCAAATGCACAGAAGTCAAGAATGGAGGTTTGGGAACCTTCACCTAGATTTCACAGAATGTATGGAAATGCCTAGATGTCCAGTAGTGAGTTTGCTGTAGGGGTGGGGCTCTTATGGAGAACCTCTGCTCCAGTGAAGAAGGGAAATGTGGTGTTGGAGACCCCATACAGAGTCCCTACTGTGGAACTGCCTAGTGGGATTGTGAGAAGAGGGCTACCGTCCTCCAGATCCCAGAATTGTAGATCCACTGACAACTTGCACTGTGTGCCTGGAAAAGCCACAGACCTTCAACAAAAGCCCATGAAAGCAGCTGGGAGGGAGACTACACCCTGCAAAAACACAGGGGCGGAGCTGCCCACGATCATGGGAACCCATCTTTTGCATCAGCATGACCTGGATGCAAGACATGGAGTCAAAGAGATCATTTTGAAACTTTAAGATTTGACTGCCCCACTGGCTTTTGCACTTTTTGCATGTAGCCCCTTGGTTTTGACCATTTGAAGTGGCTGTATCTTCCCAATTCCTGTGCCCCAATTGTAGCTTGGAAGTAACTAACTTGCTTTGGATTTACTGATTCATAGATGGAAGGGACTTGCCTTGTGTCAGATATGATATTGGACTGTGGACTTTTGAGTTAATGCTGAAATGAGTTAAGACTTTGGGGCGCTGTTGGGAAGACATGATTAGTTTTGAAATGTGAGGACTTGAGATTTAAGAGGGAACAGGGAGGAATGATATGGTTTGGCTGTTTTCCCATCCATATCTCACCTTGAACTGTAACTCCCACAGTTCCTACATGCTGTGGGAGAAACCCAGTGTGATGTGATTGGATTACAGGACTGGCCTTTCCTATGCAGTTCTCATGGTAGGGAATGAGTTTCACAAGATCTGATGGTTTTAAAATTGGGAGTTTCCCTGCACAAGCTCTGTTATTTTCTCTGCTGCCATGTGAGACATGCCTTTCGCCTTCCACCATGATTGTGAGCCCCCCCCAGCCACGTGGAACTGTAAGTCCAATAAACCGCTTCTTTTGTAAATTGCTCAGTGTCAGGTATGTCTTTATCAGCAGCATGAAAATGGACCAATACAGCTTCCTTTCAGTTGTGTTTATATTTATATAGTTGTGTTGTTAACATGTGTTCCAGGATTGTATAAGATTCCTAAAATTCTGCTATGTCTTAATATATGTTGTCAATAATAATTATCATTATTATGTTAGCTTGTTGTATGCCACAGAAATAACCAAATTTCCTGTCAACTGTGTTTTCAGCTATGACTGTGTTAAGAATTTTGTCATCCACAATCGTTTTGCTTTCATCTCAAAATGTGACTTATAGTCAGCCACAGTCCAGGATTGTTTCTTTGACGGACTTCATAAAAATGACTCCTAAATGCAAGTTTCTGATTATTTTGGAGATTGTGCAATTGGACTAGAGGTAAAATTTCCAGGGCACTAATTGAAAGGCTGGTATGTTCATAAAGATTGCTAACCTTATATGAAACAGAGCAATAGTTGATTGCATGAACTGACGAACAGGGGACTGAAACAATTTTTATGCCTTTTTTTGTGTTTGAAATATTGATGATTCTTTTTGTTTTTTAGTCTGGAGATTTTTTTTCTATTAAGCTATGTATATTTTATTTTATTTTATTTTTAACTCTCTTGCCCAGGCTGGAGTGCAGTGGCATGATCTCGGCTCACTGCAACCTCCACCTCCTGGGTTCAGGTGATTTTTCTGCCTCAGCCTCTGAGCAGCTGGGACTACAGGTGTGCACCACCATGCCTGGCTAATTTTTTTGTGTTTTTAGTAGAGATGGCGTTTTACTATCTTGGCCAGGCTGGTCTCTAACTCCTGACTTTGTGATCTGCCCACTTCAGCCTCCCAAAGAGTTGGGATTACAGGCGTGAGCCACTGCGCCTGGCCTGTACAGCTCTTAAGTATACTTTAAGTATAATGAGTAGTGTATACTTTCATAAATGGAATTTAAGGCATATTTCTCTTTCTCTGCTTAATTTCTTCAGAATTTGTAAACTATTTCTAAATAGTGTTAATTTATGCCAATGTGTTTGTTTACGTAAGTTCAATAAGAATCTGTCTTCATTTATAATGGGACATAGTTGGAGGAACTGATTATTGTCCCAGGGCTTTGATTGAAATAGCCTTGTGAGAGGTTCCAGTAAGGGCAATTTAGGATCGCCTACGTAGACAGTGATTCTTGCTGCACTTTGTGTGGGTAATCAGGCGAAGCATATAGGACTGAAGCTTATTTTGCTGGTAGATTGGTCCTGCTGTGATTTGTCATTGGTAGAAGTCTGGGACTGGAGAGAGAATGATTGTGTTTCAGTAGAAAACTATAGTATTAGATTAACCTTTGATTCCTGAATGGCCATGTAGTCGCCCATGTTATAGAGCTGCCCACTATGTCCCTCTACAGCATGAAGCAGACAAAAAGATTGACAACTGGATTCCCCATGATTGAGGAGTTGATATATAGAAAGGGGGCACTGAAACTGACTCAGTAGTCTCATAGGCAAATTTTTTGGGGGATAAACATAAATATTTACCCTCCTGGTCTTAAATTTTGAAAATTATATTTGTTTTATCTGAGTTTTTTCCTAAGAAAAGAACCCCCCAGCCCTCTCAAAAGATATCAAGGAACTGAAACACACCAGACCACCACATCCAGACAATGAGACATTAGGTCCCTTATTCATTCTCATTGCCTTCTTAGCCCTCCTGAGTTCCTGTTTTCCTGCACATAGTTACATTTCTTCCCTGCTATATAAACCCCTAATTTGGTTAGCCAGGGAGATGGATTTGTGATCCATCTGATTTTTTTGTTTGTTTGTTTCCTTGGCTGCAGCCTTCGATTAAAGCCTTCTTTTCTGACAATTGTTGTCTCAGTGACTGGCTTTCCTTGTGGTGAGCAGCAAGACCTAGACCGAATCCCTGGTGTTTCAGTAACAAAAAGACATACATGGAGAGACCTATGCTCTACAGAAAATTAGCCAGATGTGTTGGCATGTGCCTGTAGTCCCAGTTACTCAGGAGGCTGAGGTGGGAGAATCACTTGAGCCTGGGAGGTGGAGCTTGTAGTGAGCCATGATCCCACCACTGCACTCCAGCCTGAGTGACAGAGCAAAACCCTGTTCCAAAAAAAGCAGATCTAGTGAGAAAACATACATCAAATGAATGTTGGAATGGTTAAATTAAAAAATATCAAAAGACTTAAAAACTTCTAGAAATAAGGAGGGCTATTACATAATAAATAAGGGTAAATTTATCAAGGGGAGTTGACAATACTAAAGGAGTATGTATGTAATATGAGAGCCTCAAAATATATGAAGCAAAAACAGAGAATTTACAGGAGAAATAGATCCAGGATTATAATTAGAGATTCAGGACTGATTTCAGCAATGGATAGGCATAAAACCAGCAAGGATATATCAAAAGTTAGCTAGAACATTAACTAACTTGGTCTAATTGGCATAGAGTACACCGCTCAGCAATAGCAAAATGCATATTCATTTCAAGTGTACATTGAAAAGACACCAAGATAGATCATATTCTGGGTAACATGACAGACTCATTTAAATATTTGAATTTGTGCATGGTCCTAAAGGAATTAAAGTAGAAATCAATAAAAGATAAAAGGAAAATCCACAAACACTTGGATTTCAAGTAATACACTTCTAGAAAATACTGGGATTAAAGAGATAGTCTCAAGGGAAATTAGAAAATATTTTAAACTGGATAAAAATACAGCTGCCATATGTGGAATGCAGCTAAAATAGCGCTAGAGGAAACTTTATATCATTAATTGCTAATATTAAAAGACAGTTAAGGTATCAGACTAATAACTTAAATTCCAACTTAAGAAACTATAGAAAAGAACAACAAACCAAATGCAAGCAGAGGGGAGGAAATCATAAATATAAGCACAGAGCTCAAGAAAATTAAAATAGGAAAACCATGGAGAAAATCTTTGAAACTAAAAGCTTATTTTTTGAGGTGATGAATAAAACTAGAGAAGATACAAATTGTCAATATTAGGATTGAAATAGGAGATAATACTATGGACCCAGTAGACATTAAGAAGGTAAGAGAATATTATAAAATCTATTCACATATACAATTGAAAATTTATTCAAAATGGATCAATTTCTTAAAAATCACAAATAAAACTCACACAGGTTGAAATAGATACCCTGAAGAGTCCTAAAACTTGTGAAAATATTGACAAAGTCTCTCTCCTTTGACTAGAACTTTCGTAAGCCTTCTCTGAGTCCTCTGCTTAACTGTGTGTGAACTTGGACTTCCCTCTCTGTATAGAATACAGTTTTAGTAAGAATTCTGCTAAATCAGCTTAGAGCGGATCTCACAGGCTTGACATTTGACCACCCTTATCTTATCACCCTGGCTTGCCTTCAGCAATAATCCTATTAAGTAATAATCCTAAGCCAGGAAGCTCTTATGCTGGATGTTTCCTCCTAGTAATTTTCTATCTACTGCCCCCTCTCTTCTCTTTGGTTATAAATCCTCACTTGTCCCTCTTGGGAGTCAAAGTGGGTTTCAATATCTCTTCCCTACAGTGAGACTGCATTGCAGTGGTCCCTATATCTATCATCATGGCCCCCTTAATAAAGTCTGACTCACCATTTTTAACAAGTGTTTGGATCACTGTTTTCCTTTAATGACATTAAATCATGTTTAAAATCTATTCTGGAAACAATATCTCCAGGCCCAGATATATTCACTCAAATCCAACCAAATATTTCAAGAATAAGACCAATTTTTCACAATCTTTTGGTTAATAGAGGATTAAATAGTGTTTTTTTTTTTTTTTTTTTTTTTTTTTTTTTTTTTTTTTTTTTTTTTTGCGTGTCTGTCTGTTTGTTTGTTTTGAGACAGGGTCTCACTTTGTTGTACAGGCTGGAGTGTAGTGGCATAATCTTGGCTCACTGCAACCTTCACCTCCTAGGTCCAAATGATTCTCATGCCTCAGCTTCCCGAATAGCTGGGATTGCAGGCCTGTGCCACCACACCCAGCTAATTTTTGTATTTTTAGTAGAGATGGGGTTTCACCATGTTGGCCAGGCTGGTCTCAAACTCCTGGCCTCAAGCGGTCTACCCACCTCAGCCTCCCAAAGTGCTAGGATTACAAGTGTGAGCCACGAGATCTGGCCTAGCATTGAATAGTCCTAAAAACATTTCATAAGGCTAGTATTACCTTTATATAAAAACCAGATGAAGATTTTAAGATTTGTAAAACTTGTGGACTGTAGATAACTTTCTGTGTGTGTGTGTGTGTGCATGTGCGTGTGCGTGTGTGTGTGTCTGTGTTTCTACAGAGTTAGGGCTTAATGAACAAATTTTTCTGTAAATTGGGATCCTGGGCTAAAAGTAACCCTTATGTAATTAATTTACAACTGGATATATAATGAGACAATTGTATAGATAGAAAGATCAACTTAATTCTGGAGATGTGCTATTACATTTTAAGAAAAAAATGAAGCTCAGGACCTTGAAACACCTTCCAGGTTGTAAAATCCAAAAAGACAGCAAGTTGGGGATGGGGTAGGGCTTATTCTGGCCCTTGGAAAGATGTATTTATATTTCAAAAGGTTCGAGTGAGAACCCAAGATCTATTGCATCTTCAGGAAGCAAAAGTTCTCCCTCTTTTTATAAGGGAAACAAAGGCAGCTGTTTTTTTCTCCATAAGATATATGTATATTTAAAAAGAAAGAAAATCAATTTTCTTCTGTTTTGCTAAGATACAGACTTAATATGCATAGCAGATTTTACCTGGATTTCAACCAGTTGGTTCTGAGATAAGAATTTGTTGCTGGTAGTTAGGCACTAGCGGTAAAGGAGAGGGCTATCCCCCACCCACTAGGAATGTCAGCTGATGTTTCATCAACTATCACATTGCTTCTCTAAAAGTGATAAATTGGCAGCCAGGCAGAGGCCATTTAATGATGGTCCACACCTGTTGCATTGAAGTTTTAATTGAATTTTGGTGCCAGGGAGAAGAAAAAAGGGGCTTCCAATAAAATCTTGGGAATTGGTCGGTTGAGCCCTGGCATGCGTATTAAAAGGCAAAATGGTGGAGTATGATCTTCTGGAGGTGCTCCACTGGAAAAAGGGAAGAAAGTCTCAGATGTGCATGCCTACGACTTCCCAAAATTACTGCTGTGCTCACTTCCCAAGGTTAAGGAGGGCACTGTGCATTCAGGCAGCCCACACTAAGGGAAGAATCATGGGAAAGAGGCCAGCCTATAAAGTCCTAGGATCAAGGTTAAACACCACATTTGTTCTACAGGTTTCCTGCTTGGGTCACTCCCAAGCATACCTTATTTGTTTTCCTGTTCTAAAGCTTTTTAAAATAATCTTCCATGCCTTCTCTGAAACTTGCCTCTGTCTCTTTTTCTGCCTCATGCCCATCAGTTGAATTCTATCTTCTGAGGAGGCATGAATTGAGGTTGCTGCAGACCCATTGGAATTCACTGTCAGTACTTGGACACCTTCTACTGGAAGCGAGTTGGAATGTGGGAAGCCAGGTAGTTATTACTTACTTTAAAGTAAATAATGATAATTTGCCTCTACTATAGCACGTCTTGTGTGCACATTTAAGATAAAATTATTAAAGGTGATCACTAAAATGCCAACACATAGAAAAAGAGTGTATGATGCAATTCAATCTAAAATTCTAGCAAATATTTTCCATAAATATTGCCAATATCTTTCTACAATATTTTGAAATGGAAAAAAATTAGAATAACCAAAACAAAATTGAGGAAAAAGAACAAAATGAGCTTTACTTCAACTGATTTTCAGATGTACTATAAATCCATACTAAGCAAGGCAATGTAATTTTTTTTATCCAGTGTAATTACTATGTGATCTAGACAAATTTATACTCCACCTTAACCCTGCTTATCTATCTTTAAGACGCAGGATGACTGTGGTCAGAAATTATTCTTCGTGACCAAATTGGCTGAAAACTGGTGAGTCCAAGATGACAGCTCACTTAACTATGACTAACTTCATTATTATCTAATTTCCGTGCTAAATAACACTCTCACCAGCACCGTGACAGTTGACAGTCACCATGACAATGACTGGAAGAAACCATACAAAGGCAAACAGGAAGGTGGCACTCCAGTTCCAAGAAGTTGTCCACCCATTCTCAGGAAATGCATGAATATTTCTCCCATTGCTTGTAATGCCCAACGCCTTCATGAAAGGTGATCTGTATCTGTGAACTTCCTGGTCTCAAGGCTGAGAAGTTGACCTGTGAGTCACACTCTTGCTTCTCAGTTCCATGGCCATTGATTAAGCCTGCGCTGCTTGACACTCTCTTTCCATTTCACATATTGGCTTCACAACACTGACAGCTCTGACAGGGAAAGATCTCATATTTTGGAAGATCAGCTTTGTTGGTAACAATTTTATCATAGGACAGATATGTAGGTCGATGGAAGAGGATAATGTCCAGCATTAGTGCTACTTATAAATTTGATTCTATTTATATATACATATATATATATATATATATATATATATATATATATATATTTAACAAATGTGTTAAACTCAATAGAGAATTTCAAAAAATTTAGCTGAATAACTGGCTATATATGTGGGGGGGAAAAAGTATCTCTTACTTTATACTATTCATTACACTTAAAATGGATCATAGTCCTAATGTAAACACAGAAACAATAAGCCTGTTAGGTAGGTAGACATTAGCAGCAAGGAGAGGGTGAGAGAAGAAAGCAGAAGGCCTGTCACTAAGACAGACCCTGACCCACCTAAGTTCAGCCCTAACATGCCTAACTCCACCTAAAAGATGGAGTTTATGGTAAAGTTTGTAACTAGCACATCCTGGAAAAAGAAAATCTGAGGCACAGATAAAAATCCCCTAACGTAGGGCATGCCCAGTCTATCTAGGCCATCACCCTGGAAAATCTCATCCTCTTTATAAATCCATTATAATAAAATTTACATGTGGTTTTGTCGCCCCAGCTCAGAGGGCTTTTCTTAACAAATTATGGGTAAACATGCACTGTTTAACTTCAGTTACATAACCTCAAATTGCCAGTCAAATGACATCATCCTGTTAATCAAGCAGCCCGAGCCTCAACTTTTCCACAAACCCCATAAACACACCCTGAGCTCGGTACAGCAGAAGGGAAATGAAGTGAAATCAGCCCACTCTTTCTGAGAGTGGATTACTGTGCTTCAGTAAACTTGGCTTTAAACTTGCATGTTGGTGTTAGTTTGCAATTATTTGCTCACTGTTACAAAAACCAGGATTGCTGGTTCAGAGCTCCAGCTCTATTGATCTCCTCAGTTAAAGGATCCATCCCAATGTAGAATCCTTAGCAATAAAATTTTTTTAGAAAAAAAGCAGGAGAAAATCTTTACCAATTCGCATAATCAAAAATTACTTACATAGGATGCAAAAAAAACATAAAAAATTAGTAAGTTGTGAAAATCAAAACCTTAGCTCTTTGAAAGAAACTATTAAGAAAATGAAAAGGTAAGTGATTGACTAGAAATAATTTACAAGACAAGCTTGATAAGGAGAGTATATACATTTTTTTATTTTAAAAACTCTTTCAATAATTAGAAGACAATTTTTTAAATGGTGATCATTTTGAACATTTACTTCTAAAAAAGAAATTTATGAATGGCCAATAAGAACATAGAAATACTCAATATCATTAATCATCAAGGAAATACAAATTAAAATATGGGCACTACACAACCACTAGAATAATTAAATAATGACAATGCCAAGTGTTGGTGAAGATTTGTAGCAACAGGAATTCTCATACATTTCTGATAGGATTGTTAAATTGTAGGACCATTCTGGAAAGCAGTTAGACAGTTTTTTATATAGTAAAAATACACCCATCATAAAACAATTCCATAAATTTGCCCAAAAGAAATGAAAATATATGTCCATACAAAGTCAAAGACTTTGACTAAAATGCTCATAGAAGCTTTATTAATAATATCTCCAAACTGAAAAAAATATCCAGTCATCAAGAGTTGAACTGATGAATAAATTATGGTGTATCTTCCAAGGGAATACTACTCATTGTATTATACATTTTAAAACTTTGCATTTTCTTGCTGCCTCAACATCTCCACAAATAAGCCATGAGCAATGCCCCTCCCAGGTAACCAGGTACACAAGTGTGATGAGATCAGAACCTACCACGAGTTCTCCGAATTGCCTTCGCCTGACTGACATCTGGTGATAATTAAAGTCACCAGTCAAATCCCCTCACACATTTTGCTGGTGTTCTCCACCCTGACCTCCAATAGAGGTCATTTGCCCATGCATCCTTATTCTCTCTCTGCTTTCTATCTGCTGGGTTGAGCCTGCTCCTTTGCTGTTCCCTCTCATGTGGCCCCCACTTGAGATGCAGTGACTCTCCCTCTAGGACCTGTGAGTATAAGGATTTTTTTTCCTGTGCCTGTCTTGTGGACACTCGACTATCATGTTAAAAGAGCCCCAAAACATTCATCAGCGAAAAAGAACAAATTACTGAAATATGTAACATCATGAATGTGTCTCAAAAATAAGCCTTAAGAAAAAAGCTGGACTCAAAGATTTTACATACTGTTTGATCTCATTCATATGATGTTTTAGAAGTGGCATGATTAAACAGATTGGTGGTTGCTTGGAGCTAGGGGTGAGGGGTATTACCTGCAAAGAGGCTTAAGAGAATCTTTTGGGGTAGTGGAAATATTCTATATAGTGTTTATATTTGGGATTGCCTGACTGTTTGCAATTGACAAATGTCATCAAACTCTGCATTTATATGCATTTGTTTTATTTCTATATAAATTATACCTCAATAAATTTGACTTTTAAAAACATTAATATGTTCATGGCTTGAGTTACCCAAGTCCTTTCTTGACCAGCCCTAGACTTCAGTCACCCGTTTCTGACTTAGTCATGTCATCATAGTCTCCCATACAATTAAAAACTTTTCCATTTTTGAAATTTTGATTTATTTGCTGCTTTAGTTATTATTGGCCACTCTCAGTCTTTCAGTTCACAGATACTATTTTGGCCTGCCTTTAAAACCTCATTTTGGAAAGGCAAATATAGTGGTCAAATGGCTTCAGTTTAAATTCTGAGATATTAGGTTTTGATACAAATAGAGACTCAAGTACCAAGAATGTGGTTTAGAAGAATTAGTTTTAAAAGTTCATGTGGCATTTATATTATCTGAACTATGGAAAGCAGTTTGGTTTTTGCATTGCTTCAAAGTTTTAGTGTGCACCAGAATCATTTGGAGAACATGTTACAATAATGTATGTCTGAGGAAGGGTCTGGGATCTTAGTTTTAAGAAACCTCCCAGGTGATTTGGATGCAGGTAGTTTTCTGACCATACTTTAAAAGTCCAGCTTTGCTGTAAAGAAGTTATCTTGGCCTGTTATGGGGTAGAGAGTGCATGTGTATTTGATGGCCATAAAGGGTAGAGAGGACTGTACTCATAAAATTAATATCCCAGATCAGCCATTTTTCAATTGATGATACATTGGGAAATCACTTAAACTCTTTGAACATCAGCTTTCTTGTTTATGAGTACTATACCTATTCCTGAGATTTGTTGTACACAAGGTATGATGTTAGACACCCAGAACTGTGCCATGCATATAGTTCACGTTAGATGTTACTTATCTCCATTCTTCAAGTTAAGGAAAGCATACACATTCTTAAATTTTATTCAGATATTTCATGTGGTGATGATATCTAGGTTAAAAGTGTCTTATTTTTCTATACTTAGTTACAAGTTTTAAACATGTCACATTTCTGTGATACAAATGGTTAGGATTTAGGGGTATGGCATGACTAAGAAAGATTTTTTCCTTTTTCTTTTCCTCCCCTCCTTTCCCCTTCCATTTCTTTCCTGTCCCTTTCTTTCCCTCCTTTTTCTTTCCTCCCTTCTGTCTTCTCTCTCTCTTTCCCTCTCTCCTTTTTTCTTTCCTTCCCTTTCTCCTTCCTTCCTCCCTTTTTTCCTACCTGCTTACCAGTCTAGATAAAGATTTAAGCTGATTTAAGCAAGGAAGATCTAAACAAGGAAGGCTGCTTGTTTCCAGGTCCTTTAGCATAAGAACGATGATGATTGAATGATAGTGCCACTTTTGTACTTTTGCTGGCATAACACCACCAGTTAAGGGTCATCTCCTAGGTATGGGTCAAGCCCCCAAAACAATTTATATAAATTGTTTTATCTATACTTCATAGTTAGGTATATTGAAACTCACTAAAGTGATTCTTCACTGCCATAAAATGAGTTTATAGTAGAGTTACAAATTCATTTTAAATTCCCCAATCTGGACTTTCCTTTAGCCTCCAAACACTTTTTAAAAGCACAGGGCAGAATATTGTTGTCATTACTGAACTCAGATTTCATTTCAGTCACCTTCAGGTGCTTGTTTATTTTCTATTTTATTATTATTTGCTTTTGATTCAGGTTCATTTTTCACTATCCGGCAATCCACACAGTGCTATACCAGTCGAGTTTATCTCTCATCAGTCACTCCGCACACATCTTTTCTTGCCCCCTTTCTGCTTTGAGTCATGCAATTTCTCCAACATGGGACAATCCTTTTGCCAGTTTAAATTCTTCCCATTACTCAAGACCCTATTCAATCTCCACATTTCCTCTAGGAAACTTTCTTCAATTACTCTAACCCTCTCTGAACTCCTGGGGTATTTATAGACAGGTCACAGTGCAGTGATCTAATTACACACATGAATGTCAGAGCTGGAAGGGACCTTAGAAATCATCCAGCTGAATGCACCTGTTCATAGGCAGGGAAACAGAGCACAGGAGGCAAGTTTCAAGAGTAGAAGAACATGCTCTTAGAGAGTGGGTAGGAACAAGATCTGGTTGTGATAATGATAGTGAATGTGATAGTATAGTGACTTGTAATCTGACTAGTAATGATCTGGGTATGAGAGAGGAATGTAGGTGGGGTTTAGTGTTGAGAGGAGTATTCAGGTTAGGCTGTTGATTACTAATGTAATGAGATTGGTAGTTAATGAAAGATGACATGGTCTATTTGAGAGAAACACAGGGATGTTGATATTGATCTGTATGCTCTCCCAGCACAGAAGCTCTGCAATGCTGGTACCTTAGTGACAGTGTCCGAATTACACAAAGTCAGAGGGCCAGAGATACGAGCTCCCTGGAAATATTCACTCTTTTAAAAAAGTAATATTTCAGAGCAGTTTTTTTTAAAGCCAAGCATCCTAATTTGTCAATGGGCATTTATTAAGGAGTGATTGAGATGTAACAAAGTTTAAAAAGTTGTAGAAGTGAAATTTCAAGTAGAAGAACAAAAATAAGAAAAAGTTAGCCTGGACAACACAGTGAGATCCCATCTCTCAAAAAAAAGGAGTAATAAATAAAAAATTAGCTATGCATGGTAGTGCATGTCCATTTTTTTTTTAAGAGAGTGAAGCAGGAGAATCACTTGAGCACAGGACTTTGGGGTTGCAGTGAGCTATGATTGCACCACTGCACTCCATCCTGGGTGACAGAAGTGACAGAAGGATACCCTGTCTCCAAAAGAAAGAAATAAATAACCGTAGAAATAACATTATGGAGTAAAGGAAGATGGTGAGGCTAACTCAAACTAGCGGAGAACTCCTATAGCATGGTGTTAAGAAGAACGCCAATGGAAAACTCGATTGAATGAGATTTAGAAGAGGGGCAAAGACAAAATTTCATTTTCCTCTGTGTGAACAATGTATTATCCAAGGACATTGTTGGCCAAGTAAAAATGAAGCAACATGTGACTCTCTGGACCTGAACTGAACCACTTTCCCATTGGTTTTCACGATGTCACTTTCCTCCCACCTCTCTGGTGTCACCTCCTCAGTGTCTTTCCTGAGTCTTTTTCCTGTACTAATTTTCTGTTGAAAATTGTTATTTTTCAGGTTCTACTATTTCTCTAAGTGGCAGCATTCATTTCTATAACTTTAAAAATTGTTTGTCTGCTAAAGATCAACTATTTTGTATTTTTACACTTGGATTCACCTCAATAACATGTAAGTATATATACAACTATCCTATTAATATATCTAGTTGCAAATCATTACATTATAGTCTTAGTAAGCCTTAATGTCCCTTTCCCCAAAACCTCGCCATGCCCTCACTTTGTGGGTGAGGGAATCTTTTTTCTATGAGTTGACTTTGGTATGAGAAGGAACATATAGTATATATCATTGGCATTACTATCGGTCGTAATCAGAAACCTAAAAGTTATCTTTGATTCCTCCCAGTTCTTAATTCCTCACACGCAATTAATTGGCAATCTTGTCCATATCTAAAGTATATCTTTTAGGTTCAACTTCTCCATTGTGTCTGGTGCCCACCTAATCCAAGCCTGTCTCCTCCATTGTGTCTGGTGCCCACCTAATCCAAGCCTGTCTCCTATTTCTTCTTTGATAGCTTCATACTGGGGTGTTGCTGAGTTCACTGTGGCCCCTCTGTAATGCCTTCTGGTGACACTGCCAGAGTGATCTTATATAACCTTAACCGTATGACCTCACAATCCTGCTTAAACACCTTTGAGAACTTACCTTGGCACAAAAGATAAAATCCAGATTCACTGCTGTAGCCGACGAGGCCCTTGTGATCTGGCCTGTTGTGACTGTCCCCCATTGTCACTAAGCTCTTTCCACACAAGCCTTTTTTCCTGATCCTTGAACAATGCAGCTCTTTACTGTCTTAGGACTTTGGAGCATGCTGTTTCCTCTATCTAGAGAGCTTGTCCTTTAGTGCTGCTCATGGCTGGCTTCTCACATTTCGGGTCTTGGTAAAGCTTTGTCTTTTGGAGAGTGTTTCCCTCAAAGCCCTTTTTAAAGGCTAGTATTCTTCCTTTTTGTATACACACATGCACATACACATACACATGCACACACACACACACCGCTTTTCATTCACATCACTGTGTTTCTCCCCTACTTATGTTAGTTCTGCAATTATTTAAATTATAATATAAGCGCTATGCGGGCAGAGGCTCATCTGTTTTGTTTATAAGGATGTAAAACAGATCCTGACACAAAGGAACTGCCCAATAAATGCTTAAGGAATTAGGAAGACACAGACTTCCATTTCAGAAGGAATGATGCCAACAAAATATTTTCAGATATTGAAATTGGAAGCTTTGGGCTCAAAATATAAAGCTAAAGATTAAAATATCAAAAGTGTCTTTGTGCTTGTTTTATTTACTTTCATATGAGTTAAATAACTTTATGTTTAATTAAAACATCAGACAGAACATCTTTCGATTAATGCTAAAGCTGCAGCTAAGTGGAAGAGCACTGAAAGAGGGAATGATATTGCATGTATGCTAAGGCTTAAAAGAAGTGGTCCAAGATGTCTTGTAGAAGCCATTTACCTAATGCTTTACCATGAAGTACTTTGTAGGGGGGTTCCATAGTTCAAAGAAGCCCAAGTAACTATGACTTTTTATTTACACCTAGAACTCAAATAAAGTAGTCATAGCTTAAACATTTTTGTGTGTTTCTCTCATGTTACATCACCTTATTCTTATACCTTTTGAGACACCTTACAGCCATGTACTTGTGGCTTGTCTGGATGGTCTAGAGACATACCTATGGAGATCAAGCGATGCTATGAGGACCACCAATCATTCTGGGAACAATAGTCTGTCTAGGGACCTATGTCCACTAGCAGATCAGTACCTTTGACACTTTGTGGGTGAGGAAATCTCTTTTCTATGAGTTGACTTTGGTATGAGAAGGAACATATAGCAGACCAGCTTTGTACAGGCTTGGTTTAGGGATGGCAGCAGTAAAGACACAGTTTGCTTCAAATCCTGTGTGTCTAAACTGTTGATTATCTCTGGATAAAATACAATTCTGAGATCAAGGCTATTTGCATCTCCTTCCTCATAGCAAGAACTCTTTAGTGGCTACAAAATACCATACATTAAGTATTTGCTGAACTGAATTAAATTTGGGTCTGCTTTGGCAAGCTGAATGTAACTCTGATATGGTGTGAAAGAGGCTTTCTTACAGAAGAAAAGTTTTAACTTTTTCCTTTATTCATTTTTAAACATATTTTTATTATAGATAATACCAACTGTAAACAAAAGTGGGTATTGTGGATTCAAATGGTGTTATGAATCTTATATATCATCTCCAAGAACCCATTTCCACTCCTGTTGGATCTACACTCATTGCAACTTCTCTCCTCTTACTAACAATTTTGAAGCAAATTTCAAATATTATTGTATTTCATTAGTAAAGATTTTAGCAGCCTATCTTAGCAATAAAACATTTTTAAAAACTCACAATACTATTGACTCACCTAAATAACTGAACATTAATTCTTTAAATGTCATAAAATATTAGTTAATATGGTTGGAAACAAAAGAAGTGTATTGTATTCTGAAGTAGAGTGAGAATTCACTCACCATCACGAGAACGGAACTGAGGACACTGTCTTCATGATTCACTTACCTCCACTTGATCTCTCCTGTGACACATGGTGACTATGAGGATTAGAATTCAAGATGAGATTTGGTAGGGGAACAAAGCCTTACCATATCACTCTATGCTATACCATTCATCTTTGCATCTACTTTTGTGGCACTTCCACATTTTGATTATAGCAACTCTTTTGTAAATCTTAAAATCAGAAAGTGTGTGGCTTCTCTAACCTTTATTTTCCTTTTTCAAAATGATTTTTCTCTTCTAGATTCTTTGCCTTTCTATGCAAATCATCAAATCAGCTTGTCAGTATCTACAAAACTTCTGCTGGGATTTTGATTGGGATTGCATGAGGCATATAGATAAATTTAAGGAAAATTTACATCTCTACTTATTGACTCTTATTTTAAGTAGGGTATGTCCCTTTTTTTTTTAGGTATACCTGGATTTCTTTAATATGCATTCTGTAGTCTTGAGCAGATAGAAACTACACATTTTATTCAATTTATACCTGCATATTTATTTTTGGGGAGGAGCTACTGTAATTAATTATTATTGCTTTGTTTTAAATTTCACTTTCTAACTGTTCATTGCTAGTATATACATTTTTAAAGTTCACCTTATAGTCTATGCCCTTACAAAATGTATTTATTAAGTATAGGTGATGTTTTATGTATTTCTTTGGATTGCCTATGTCCAAAATCTTGTCATCTGTGAATAGGTATGATTTTATCTCTTCTTTTCTAATCTGTATGCTTTTTTAATGGTTTTTGTTTTTATTGCCTTATTGCACTGGCTAAAACTTCCAATATTATATTCAATAGTGGTGGTGAGACATCCTTTCCTTATTCTCAATTTTAGGAGTAAAGCATTCACTTTTTCACTATTAAATGTAATATCAGCTGTAGATTTTTTGGAGACACTCCTTATCATATTGAGGAAGATAACTTTCTGTTTGTAATCTGCTCAGAGTTTTAATTGTGAATGGATGTTGAATTTTGTCAGCTGCTTTTTCTGAAATAATTGAGATAATCAAGTAGTTTTTCTTCTTTAAACTGGTAATATAGTGGAATTACATTGATTGGTTTTTGTATATTCAGCCAGCCTTGCATTCTTCAGATGAACCTTTCTTGGTCATTGTCTATTATCCTCTCTCTATATTGCTAGACTTAATTTTTAAATAGTTCCTCAAAGATTTTTGTGTCTATGTTCATGTGGAATAATGGGCTACAGTTTTGTGGTCTGTAGAGAACATACATTTTTATTTATGGAAAAATTGTACTTACTGAGTAAATTTTTCTAAAAACATGGAATCATTGGCTAGAAGCACAGCTTGGGAAGTTAACATTCAGCTGTATAGATAGTGTGAGAGCACCAGAGGAATTTACCTAACTCTGGAGCTATGTGCTGACATTTCAAAGAAAAATTAGGCCTGGAGCCTTATAGATATCTTTATGTTGTAAGACACAGAGTCACCCAGGTTTATATGGCCCTTGCAGAGATGGATTCACATGTTGTATATACAATTGCTCATTCATTGTTATTGCTGAGTAATACTTCCTTGTATAGATAAACCACAATTTGTTTATCCTTTCAGCAGTGATGGACATAGAAGTTATTTCCTATCTTGGATTACTTTGAATAAGTCTTCCTTCTTCAAAGTTAACTATTCTGCTTTTTGTTGAAATGTGAGTCATCCCATTTTATCTTTAGGCATGACCATCCTATAGCATTTTTTAGGGAAATCATCATTTCATTCTAGAGTAGTCTCTCCCATCCTGATGATGTTCATTAAAATGTAAATATCTCTTCCTTCTAATTCAAGGTTAAATTCTATGTCACATTATGTTTCCCGGTGTTCTCTTTTTCTATTCTTGAAACAACAAAGGTCTCTTGATATTCTCTCATTCGTTTAAATTTCATGCCTCTTTGGGGGATCCTGGGGTAGAATGGATGCTCTCAGATCACTTTGCCTAGGTACTTTATACAGTTGTGTTTCCACTGTGAGGGGCCATGCTGGATGCTTTCTGGGCTGCAGTCCATAGGTGCAGGATCTCCACACCCTTTTTGGTTACATGTCTCTCCCCAGATATTTAACTGGGAGTGGGATAGGGTGGGAGAGTGTATACTTCCTGAAATTAATGTTTATGCTCAATTGTCCTTCACACACTAGTTTCTAGCCTTCAATAGAAGAAAAGCTCCAGAGGTCTATTTATCTAGAATGTGATTAAGTTACAGGAGAGAAACAAAGTTTTTCTGTATTGCATTTGGACTGAAATTATAATATTTGAAAGATAAGCATTTGCTTGATAGCTGCCCAATATGGAGCAGATTCACAGCTCATGTCAAATGAGGGCAGATCCCAGAATTAAATATATGAAAATATAGAATACTCCACACATCCTTCTGCCACAGTGATAAATAACTGGTGATAATATGGCCAAGATATATTGAGTAAAAATTCAAAATGTTTGTATGCATGTACATTTTTTAATCCATACATTAATGCTATGCGACAGGTAATGTTTTCATTGCAGTTTTACAGATTAGGGAACAGAATTTGTTAATAGTGGGGACTGTGTTCAAACACTGACATCTGGTTCTAGAACTTGGGTTTTTAGCCATTTCCCATTAATCTGTACTTTCTCTATAGAGGAAGTCACACCTATGTACAGATATCTCCTTCTTGTTTGGACTCCATACTATTAACATCGAGACATCCAGTGAATACATAAATTATGGGTGATGATTAGCTTCTCTTCTGTTCTTTTCAACCTCAGAAAGGATGTTTTTCCATTATAAAAATAGGATTCTTCTGTTTAATAATGCATGATTAGTATCAGCAATAGTTTAGAAAACAAAAAGGATGGGTTTTGGCATATTTGGGCATGTAAAGATGATGAGGAAAGAGATATCATCTTGTGACTAATAAAGTAAATGTCAGACTTGATCAGGTTAGATTTTCTGTGTCCAGGATTTATTATTTACTAACAAAACATCAACCAAGCACATAAAGAGACTATGCATGTGTTTTTCTTGTGAAAATGCAGAAATATCATGATACCTCATGAAGAGATAGAGAGAGAGAGTGTGTGTGTGTGTGTGTGTGTGTGTGTGTGTATGAGAGAGAGAGAGAGAGAGAGAGAAGTGGGGGGGGGAGAGAGAGAGAGAGAGAGAGAGAGAGAGAGAGAGAGAGAGAGAGAGAGAGGGAAAGAGAGAGATTAGAGTCAGGCAAAGTGATCTGAGAGCATCCATTCTACCCCAGGATCCCCCAAAGAGGCATGAAATTTAAACGAATGAGAGAATATCAAGAGACCTTTGTTGTTTCAAGAATAGAAAAAGAGAACACCAGGAAACATAATGTGACATAGAATTTAACCTTGGTTTTATTTGTATTCAGGGCTTATTTCAACGCATAAAAGAAAGGAGAAAATGGCAAATGGCAATCAGATGTACAAAGTTCTATACCAGTGTGTAAATAGAATGAGTGTGAGAGTTTATAAAAGAGGTGAAAAAACAGTTTTTAAACTTGCAGAGATGGCATTGATTGTACAATCAACCATAATGCCAGCTTTAAGTCAGTCACCTTGCCAATGATGTAAAAATATCACTTCTATTTCATTTGTGTCATAGTTTAAAGCATGTTTCATCAATGTAAAAATCCAACAAATCATATTACTTTTAACTAAAATATTCCACCAGTCATTCTCTAATAATTATTTTGTATTTCTATCATTTTGTCATTCTTCCTTTACATAGTTCAGTGGAATTACTATCTCCTAAGCTCGAGGGAGTTAGGTGCATGAGTGGAGGTAGGCTTTAGAGTCCACGTGGTCCAGGCTTAAACTCATCAGAATATTGTATCATCTCTGGTTGCACATTAGGCAAGGAGTCAGAGTCAAGAAGATTCGATGGGGCTAATGCTGGTAATTCTTGCCAAGACTATATGAAATAACTCTTGAATTAGAGGAAATCTATTATATGAAGATCATTTAGAAACAATGATAATTTTCTATTATACATCAATACATGTGGGCTGTTGTCAAAGCTGCAGTCTGAATTAAGAGCACTGCAGAAAATAAACTGAATAATTGAGATAGAGATGGTTGGGGTTTGCGATGCTTTCACTGAGATAGTCAGAGAAGGTGTCTCTAAAGAAGTGATATTTGACTTGCAATCACGTGGGGAATAGGCAGTCATGTAAAGGTCTGATGAAGTAATGTCCCATGCAGGAGTGGTAACAAGGAAGGCCATGAGAGAAAGAACACTTTCCATGCTGAGTGGCCAGCAAGTGTATCAGTTTTACTGGAATACTGAGATTGAGGGAATGAGGAAAGATGAGATCATCAGTGGGAGCTCTCCTAAAGGTGGGAGCTGGCCTGGAACTTACCACTAGGCTGTAGTGTCCTTCTGTTGATCATAAACAATTTCACGGAGAACCAACATCAAACACGGTAACTCTGTGACCATAAGTGAAGCCAGACAGAAACAAGACCATCCGTAATTATGCCTGATCACAGATCATAAAAAAGAATACTGTCCAGTTCACAAAACAATGGCCCACATCCCTATTTCCTGGCTAATATGCTGCTTTTCTGCTCCTTATACTTTGCACTGTCTTGTTGCTTCTGCCTCCTTGGTAAGAATCATTTAGCTACCCTATTGTAGAACCAACCCGGACTTTCTTATAGCTTCTGACCTAGAACAATGCCATGCTTCCTTAAAAACTCTTCAAAATCCTGATGCAACACAATATCCTAATACCTTCTTATTGAGACGCTTCGTGACTTCTCCTGGTATATTTTCTGCTCTATATCAATGAATCCATAAAATTAACTTTGTTCAAATACAGGTAGTTTTTGGC